ACATACACACATACACACATACACACATACACACATACACACATACACACATACAGACACACTAACTGCAAAGACTCCCATTTTGTGCTTCGCACATGGGAGTCAAAAACACCATTTTAGAGGTAAACACTATAAACTCGAACACACTGTCAACAATCTTTAGCATGCACATACAACTTTAAAAAACAAGAACATGCATAGTAAAAGTATTTGTCTGAGTTGATACTACTTTACATGTAATTAGTCCCATTTAGCATTCCATACATACATATATTAAAAAAATACAAACCCATCCAAATTTATCTCTTTATGTTTGATTATACCTAGTTATTATCAATAATTTTTGACTCGTGAAACATGTTGATAACTTACTTGGGAATGGTCTGGGTCCTGGTACCGATCTACTCTGTGATTCAGCTGCTGGTACAGACACATGGCGCATCTGAGAAGCAAACAATTTGGAAATATCAAGTCAAGCAAAATTGAAGAAGTCATGACATAAACAAGAAACACAGAAAAGCATCTATACATGTGCCCGAGATCCGGTTAGTAGGTGCTTTGGCACATTGTAACAAAACAAGCAGCCTGTCGGCTGAGATAGCTCCGCTGTTAGCAATGCACATTTCAATTAAAGAACAGAAGATATCATTTGAAAATGAACAATATGTAGACTTGCTGTTTTCAATAAGAATTCAAAAATATCACTTTTCACCAAAAATGACAAAAATAATCACCAAAATTAGAGAATTGAAGATATCATTATAAAATGAACAAATCTGAGAGAGGTCCACATGTAGTACCTATATATGTAATATCAAAGCAATTGGACTTGCAGAATTAAAGATATCAACATGAAACGAACAAATCAAAGAAAGGTCTACCCAAGGTACATATACACCAAGTATCAAAGCATTCAGGCTTATAGTTTTCAAGAAGAAGTCGAAAAAGTAAAACATTGACACGGACAATCACTCCTATGATAAGCTCCACTCGACAAAGTGACCATCAGTCAGTAACCTTAAAAAAACTACAAAAGGACTGTACAATGGATGTGTACCCAGAAAGCGAACGAACAGTACAGGCACGTCAGAGATACGACTATGGAAAGAGTAAAGATTGAACAATTTTAAATCAGGAATGCAAACCTGACTTCTATTAAATATGTGCCTTACCTGCATACTTGCATTTCGGGGCACTGTACTATTCGTCGGCATCTCATCCATTGTAGGTGTACTTGGCCTGTCTGGAGAAGGCTCTAGTGATGGACTTGCAGTAGTTGGAACACTAGGTACAGTAATAGCTCTGGGAGGAGGAACTGCACTAGGTGGAGGTCTCTCTACTCTCGGCTGCAGCTGCAGCTGTGGCCGTGTTTGCGTTACTGGAGGTGGTACTTGCTGAGGCGGCTTCACTGGTATACTCATAGTGACAGGGGGCGGTTGAACTGGTTTGACTTTGGTGTACCCAGTCTCATTCTTAAAATTTGTGACAGCCTGTAATTGGGAACAAAATTTATCATCAATTCTATCATCAATAATTAGGGCATTAGAGCACACTCACACAAACGGGTTTTAGTTGAATTTAGAATGAATTACCGGATTCGGCTGATACCACGCCCTGGGCAATCTTATGGAGGATTTGATTTTTTTATAGAAAAATGTGGACCAAAAGATCGCCCGGGCGATCTTTTGGCAGATATTACGAAGCCCATATTGTCTGGAAAAATAACCCTGAGTTGATAAAAATGGTCTAGAAAAAATAATATTTCGCATTGACCAAATATAATAATGCAAAGTATAAATTCAAAGTGTTTTAATACATTGGTGAGAGGTCGCATTTTACGTGAACAAGAACATGCACCAAGAAGGAAAAGCAAGTCAAACTCGAAACGGGGTGCATCATGGACATGACACAACACATGCTGCGACAACTGAGTGATCAGCGACATCATTTTGGGACGCAATTGAACTTCAAGTACTTTGCGAAACTTGCTGCGCGGCGATGCTGGCATCAAGTGTGTGTTGACCGAAGTTTGACCCCAAGTCACACGCTGAACTGGCGCGTTACCTTAGCAACCTTTTTCTTTCGTGGTCTGTGCGTCGATCTAGTAAAATTGTTATTATATCCGACGGTACTGTAATTACGCAACTTGTATGCAACTCTGTACTGGCTTTGAATATATCAACATCGTTTACTTAGTGCACTGCTTTTCTAATTACGCAAATTTGTTTACAATATTGTACCAGCTCTGAATATTTCAACTTTGCAATGTAATGTATTGCTTTCATGATAATTACGCAAACTCAAGTTAATTTTTACTATTGTTAGGATGCTGACCCGGGGTATTGGGTCTGTGAATATTTCAATATTACCGACTTGATAATGCGTTGCATTCGTATTAATTACGCAAACATAAACATAGGCACATTTAAATCATTAAAAATGATAGTAGTCGGATATCTACGGGAAGTCGAGAAAATATTTTAAATACTTGTGATTCATCGATGTTCCAATGGTGATTTTTTTTATTCGAAGTGAAGTGAACATGTAATATAAACCATACCATGTGTCAAGTTAAATTTTACTATAATATATTATCACATCTCACTGCTGTTACGCATGCTGTGATTGGTTGAGACTCAGTCACATGACATGGAATAAAAATGAATATTACATGGTATATTGCCCGCCAAGTGGATATTACATGGGTATATCACATGGATGTCGTCACTGAACTACTGCGCAACGATACTGCGCATAACAAATTGTCATTCGCTGCACTGGTGCTGCTCTGGTAACTGTTGCTTTCGGGATTGCTTTCAGGGTTTTGAAGGAACTTTAGCCATCCAAAATATACAGTGAACGTGAATAGGTGTGTGGTACGTTCGTGAGAAGCTAATTTCAGTCATTTCCCTGGCACTCTGACATTTTTATCTGTAGAGTGATCAAATAACATGCGTTTAAGAATTTCTCAATTCATTTCAAAAATGTTATTCTCAATAATTTGACTGATTCACACTGCTGCAACACGGTTCAACTTAAAATGTATCCATGGCTGAAAATAACATTTACTGAGTGTATTTCGTTATTTTTTTTCAGCAAACAATGTATGTATGCTATTGAGTAATGTTAAACTTGTTGTAATAGATAAAATAAAATATTGCATACTTCATATATAAGTGTTGTTATTTTGTGGGAGAGCGGGTGTGAGATGTATGGTAGCTGTGATTGTCATGGTGAATGTCCGATGTGATAAAATAAATAACACATGGTTTTTCGGGCAATATCACGATTTATTGTCTGCCCTCGGGCTGTTGGTCATGACCATAATGCCTTGGACAGGCAGTAAATCGTGATATTACCCTCACAAGCATGTGTTATTATTTAAATAAACTCTGGACAGCGCACTTTGATTGCAATATTCACGTACATTTCGACTGAACTCTAATAACCACGTGTTTGAATTACGTGCGCATTGGGCAATGACCTACAGAGTTCACGCACTGATATTTAAATTCAGGCCATCCAGCTTGATGCAAATCAATATAGTTACTTGTCATGTGTTCAAAAAATCTTTCAACTCTCACAAATACCATGAATGCGAAGAGTTTACTAGGGGTTATTTGAAAGGGAACGTTTTTTTTTGAACAAAAAACACGTTAGTACAAGATTATGTGTACAAGGTTAGCTTTATAGAATGTACATGACCGCTTAACTCTATGTTTTTTAATAATCATGTTGCATGTGAAACGCAGGAGACATTTTAGTTCGCCCATTTCTTGTTTACCGACTTTTTGTCTGGAATACAGACAAAGATTAAACATTACTGATAACAACCAAGAGGCTCGAACCAGGAAGGCTTGGATATTTTAAACTTCGTAAATAACATTCTTTTCAAGCGCAGACTTTATTCGAGTGCAATAAACATAATACGCAACAACAATTGGTTTTATTGAAGTTTTAATGCTTTTTGACTTCACAGTGAATTATTTTAGCGTCATATTTGAAATAGCGCACTCGATACAAGATGTCGGACGGGAAAATTGGGGTTTGTAAAAATGTTTGTTGGTTCAGTCAGGCAATGTGTGGACCAAATCATCGCCCACTATTTGAAACATCGCCCATGGGCGAGGTTTAGGATGGGCGGGGTATCAGCCGAATCCGGTAAGTTAAATTATAACTTTATTTGGGGTTGTAATTAAAAGAAAATTTAACAGAAATACAGGAGTTAGTATTACAGTTTAAATGAGCAAGGACATTTGTACATGCATGTATCCTATATTAATTAAAAATATATTTCCAAAACACGCATTTCCTAAAATTGGAATTTTATCCTAAATTCAAATTGCCAACAAAGTGGGGCACCTTAAAATAGCTTCTACTAAATAATTGATAACTGCATTCACTTACTCGTCTTAGAAACTTGTTTGCAATAAGAGAGTCTGGTGATACACCCGACTCATGACACCCTGGACATGTATGGTCTTCAGTTTCTAGTAAGGCATTACGTATGCCTGGAAATATAAAATATACATTACAGAATAAATACAGAGAATCATAATTGTCACATTAGAATCCTGGTTACATTAGCCTATAATCTATGCACTGTTTTAATAGTGTCTTGAGAAGGAAATCATTAACATAACACGGGTCCCATCATGCAATTGTAAACAAAACTAAAACTCACACTCATCACAGTAACTGTTTCCACAGCAAGGAACGACAACAGCATCTCTGAGAAGATCTTTACAAATCTGACATTGTAACTCAGGTGGCACTGGGGCACTTTCCACAAGAGGTGGGGGTGCTGCCTCTTGTTGCAGAAATGACGGCTTCTCCTTTTTCCCAACTTTGTAAGCATTCCTGAAAGAAAAGAATGAACAATATAAAGCATATTATAATTTCATTGCAAATGAATACATTTTGTGGTTATTGAAAGGGATACTACAAAATACTCCAGGAAATTCATTTATGGGATACAAAGGCAGTGAATTTTTCATGGGACTTTTCAATGACAATTATTTGAAATTCTGTTCTTACATACCGGTATATCATAAAAAGAGTTAAGTTACTTTTACGACTGACATTTGATCTTGTGGAGTGTCCACTAAGTATCAATCGAACTTACAAGCACATAAGTATATGCACATAAACATGAAACGATTCAAGTTCGCATGTAGACAAATGCACCTAACCACTGTAAGCAGTTCTGTTCCCAGTTACACCACACTGTACTCAATCTGCTATCAAATAGTGAACAGGATTTACATTTTCTTCTATGCTATCGATAAAGAGCCATTGCTCGAAGCGTCTAGCTATTTTTAATAGTTATTTAGGACTACGATTACCAAATATTATCTTCTATATATCAAATAGTGAGATGTGGGTAAGCTGTAATAAAGAAATCTTACACAAGTACATACAGTTACAGAATTTAATTTTGTGGTCACTGACTGTACCCAGATATTAAACCAAGTTACCATTACACTTATTTTTGACACATCATCAAGTACTTACTGGTCAATTATAGGCACAGCATAGTGTCCGAATGATGTTAACATGGCACCAGGAACTGAGGCATTATCAACAGTTGTCATAAAACTATGAGGTATCCCTGTGCTGTGTTTTGGCTGCCGGATATCCAATCGGCTATCCTGTTATCAATAAGAAAATGGTCAAAAAATTTATTAGGAATTGGTTATCAAACCGAAGAAACCCCATTAAGCAACATACATATACATATAAATGCTATAAACTGAATGAGTCACTGACGTGTAGAATCCACCACGTGTTTGTATGTCAATTATTTGAAGTTTTTGAAATCTACAAATTTCCAACACTCAAGGGATGCAAGTAAAATGTGTAGCAATAGATTTCCTTTTAAACTACTGGTGAGAGGAGATCAATATGTCATGAGTTGCTTTTCTAATCTTTGGAAGCACAGCAGACAGCTAGGGAAGATGGTCCCTGATATGAAAGCGGACAACCCATTGAGAATGTGTTACTAGCATGCGTTTTCAAAATTTGCCCATTTTTTTTCAGGGATGAGAAAAATACAGGTCACTTTAAACTATTTCAATAACTAGTTATGTTAATAAATGACAAACAGTTTGCAATGTGTGACCAACCCTAATACTTCAACAGCAGCCATCTTTAATGTGAACCAAAATTTGTTGAAGTGGTGTGACCATAGGTAAAAGTAGATTGTTGGTGAATACACTAAAGTCAGGCCAGGCATTATGAAGATTACAAAGAGAAAACCATACATACTGCATTAGTTGGACAATTTCTTATGTAGTGTCCAGTTTTTTGACATCTGTAGCACCGATAATTTACTGGAGGTGGACCTACTGGATACCTTGATCTTGGGTATCTAGTAAATAAAAGTATGCACCTATTAAACATCAAAACTCTCATGCACGGAAATCAACCACAGGTTTTCACACAAGCTACAGCCAAAAACGATGCAAGGACAAACAATCTCTGGTGACTGGCTAGATGATTTGATGGCCAAATGCGTTTTTTTTTTTATTTCAGAATATAGACAATTCAAATGTTTCCAGGATGCACAACCTCATATTTAAACATGTTTAAGTACAATTTTTAAAAGAACTAATGCCAGCTATATCATTTACAATTTTACATTTAACTTCATTACCGCCTAATAAAAAGTTATGATATGAGGTATAAATGCTATCAATGCTTACGTTGCTGGATCATAGTCCCTGCCAGCTTGATGCATCATTGCAGCTATCTTATCTTCTTCGGAAGCATTCGCAGTTGCCAAGTCAGCTGTCTGTGGGAAAAAAAAGGTCGTATACACACATATATGCAAGAAATCTAGAGCATCACACCATTATTATTTATACTATAATGGCCCTGTTTACCTAATTTAAACCTCGGGTCTGCATTTTATTTGTGAAGCCAAAACTATATTTATATTTAGCAGGAACTTATTACACCAAACAATTGTTGGTTCATTGACGCAACGATGCTGAGTCAGTGCATGTATTATCAGAGATGTCAGCAATCAAAATATTGTAGTGAGCAAAGTGCGAATTAGGCTTTTTTTTTTTTTTAACAAACTGCTCTAAATGCAGTCTGCTGTATGAATTGATAAATGTGAGAGTTCACAAGGTAATTGACTTCATAGCTAGCAATTAGAATCTAGGATTTTTTTTTGTGCAGAGGGAGAAAAATTAAAAAGTATTTACAAACATAGCTTTCTATTATATTTTTGAAAAAATCTGCCAAAAACGTATCGAACTGAATTGTCTGTATGTACTAATTACACAAAATGTGTCTATGGCGCTAACATGGTCCCCATTTCCTAGAAGTTGGCAAAGACTATCTTTTAAAACATCCACAATAATGAATCAACATTTTTATTATATTTGGGATTTATCTTCTTATTCAGTGCAGGTTTGCATACCTTCTTTGTTGTGACGGTCGCAACTTCTATTCTTACTATGCCCCGCCCACACCATGGAGTGCGACTGGGGAACATTTTGCTGCAAGTGCAATCACACAAATCTCTTCTAAGACCAAATAACCCAGTGCAGCGCGCAGTGTTTTCCCTCTACTTATTAACCAAATTTAATCATGTTAGCCATTTAGCATGCCCAATTAATTGGAATGTTTAAAAATAAATTTCTGTTAGTGAATAAAATTCACACGCAAGGTCGATATAATTGAATGTTAAAAGTAAGATTTCAGTCACTTCCCTTTTTCCAGAATGGCTGTAATCAAAAGAATAGGGAAAACACTGTCCAGCATTTTCACAAGCATACAAACAGCTACACAAGAACTCTTAACAAAAATAAATTATTCTTTATTCAAGAGAAAAATTGGGAAAAAAATCATTCTTCAAAAAATAATTCAATCTACCACAACTGAATCTCACATACTCCATCAAGCAAGTCAACAATAATTATCATGTGAATCATAACATAAAAAATGTCATTGAAGTCTTTTCACATAATTAAATATACTGCATCTTGATATTATCATGAACATCACTCATAAGTATACAGAATTCTCAATTGCATGCGCATCTTTACATAATAATAAGTACCCATCCCTAAAATCATACATAGATAGATAATGCATGGACAACAAACTTTATCAATCACTGTATAATCAATATTAGAAGCTGTGATTTCTACTAAAATGGTACAATGCAACAAAGAATGCAGCTTCTATTAGAACATATACACATACACAAGACATGATAAAAATTTTGATTCTCAATTGTTAAAAAGAATGGATGTGGATTCTAATTAAGGAAATTACTTCTAATACAGATTTTACGGTACAAATGAGGGCTCCTCAGAAATATTTGCAATTCTGTAAAAATTTTTAACTGGTATTTAATTTTCCATTTTGAGAATATTCACAGGGTTTTAAATTCATAGAAAACAAAATCTCAAAATGAAGCATTGCAATGTATGTACTGTACTACGCACACACAAGTGTCAACCATTGTTGTTTAAATGTACATTAGAAGTGATGATACCAATTTTTATGTCAATTTGCAAATTCACTCTCAACTTTTGTCAAGTTATACAAAATAAATTTCCATAATTGTTACATATTTTTTGAAGAATATTGATATTATGTCCTTTTGGACATGTAAAAAAAAAATACATAGAAAAAAGGTAGTATTGACAAAAACATATTAGTGATCTTTTAGTGGAACAATGTACACAAGGTTTGAATTTCAGAGAGGACACCAGTTTTCATTTTATAAAATGGCATACAGGAATAGACAATATCAAAGGGCACTAAATGCCTTTCCTTTGATGCCTCTGAAGTTCAAGCCTTGTGTATACATGTAAAGAGGATGAAAGTTGACATTCAACCTGAGGTTAATCAAGCCACTATACAGGAGGATGGGGTATCCGTAGGCACATATTTGAGTTCTGCTAGAGAGGTGATTGTCATTGTGTTCGGTATTTGTCCAACGTATACAACATATGTAAAATACATAATTCACATGAAATTTGAATGCCTGCTACACAACCATTGCCCTTCACCAGGGTTCTTTTAAATTATGTGAAAATGAGGTGCGTTGAAAAAATTTATTGGTTCACAGTGATACAGGAATTAAAGAGGGACGGACGGTAATGAACATTTTAAAAATTAATGGTGATCCCAATATGAAATGAAATCAACACGTTTTTATTTGACAGATAGCGCTTACATAAATGTGATGCGAGTTTATATGCGCTTCGAATAGAACAAATACGCTAATTTCACTTTCATTTCTACTACTACTTATAGTAATTGTACATATTACATGCAAATACCAATAATATTTGTCAGCAAATACGTGGAAAGAATAGACAAAGAGTGCCAGCAATAAGTGAATACTTATTAGGGTATTGTAGATTTAGAAGAAAAAAACACAGTTCCTGGTTATTTATTTCAAAAGTGTTTTGTTTGTTTGCAGAGAATGAATAAATTAATGAGTAATCACTCACCAGTCTGACAACAGACTTCAACAGAAAAACTAGTTCTTAACCTGCTGAAAGTCTCCACAAATAACCGATATGAATGGGAAAAATAATTGTCAGCAGGTAATGCCTTAATCAGTATCAACCTATTAAAACAGCTGTTTCGTGTTGCGTAAAGAGCACATATTTGAGATAAAATACAACTAAATAGGATTGATAGGTACAAATTTTTTTTATAACCAGGAACTTTTTTTGTGGTGTTACAAGGACAAACAATTAACAATTTATGTAATTTCATTAGATACAAGTGAAATATAGAAAAGATAAAAAAAAAACAAAAAACATTGTAATACAAAATGCGTGTCCTACAACTGGTAATGTCTCAAAATACGGTGGATGGCACACTGCACACTCGATAGTTCACTAACAACGAACGTGATTGCGCAGCCGCTGAAGCCTCAACACAATTGCACTCTCCAAATGCTTCTCTCGCAAGATACTGCTTGAAATTACATTTGCTATTTTTTTGTACCTTGACTGGCTAGAAAACACTTTACTAAAATTCAAATATTGCTTATGTACAAGATATAAATAGATACAGATAGAGATAGAGATAAAACGCATGTAATTTTCCAACTGAATACACTATTATTAGGAAACTTTTATCCAAAATACAATTTTTATAGTTTCATCGTACATATGGTACAGAGAAAAAAAAAAAAAGACTTAAAATAATGTACATGCATTTCTGACACTGTTTTACCAAGTGATGGAAAATATTTTAACACAAATCATTAAAATGACAGAAACTGGATATCGCTATGTATTTAATACAAGCAGCCTATCGGCTGAGATAGCTCCGCTGTTAGCAATGCACATTTCAATTAAAGAACTGAAGACATCATTAGAAAATGAACAATATGAATAGTATCAAAGCAATCGGACTTACAGTTTTTAACAAGAAGTCGAAAATATCACTTTTTACCAAAAATTACAAAAATATTCACCAAAATAAATTAATTAGAGAATTGAAGATATCATCACAAAACGAA